TGATTTTGATTCTTGACCTTATTTGATTTTGATTCTTGACCTTATTTAATGTGTATGCATACAAATACGTGCTTGGTATTACTGTGGTTTTATTGACCATTGAGGATTACAAACTAAGAAATTGTAATGACAATGTAGTTCACTTTACCACTTTAAAAATGATGTAAAATTTGGAAATGACGGGCGCATCCGTTAAAAGTTAAAAACGGTTGATCAGGATACGTTTCAAGAGTGCAGAACACCATATTCAAAACCATTGCGTAGTGAGCCATTTCGTCATCGTCTAAATTGTCCATTAGATTGTGGCGTGAGCTCCAAAAGTAAGGCAAACTGCGTGTTTCGAAGTGTATTTTTAATACTTCCAACATCTTAAATCCACAAAAGGAAAATAGGTTAGTTTTTTTTTATATTAACCACTAATTCATGATTTTTATACTTATTGTTACCTCTAGAAATACTTCACTGATTGGTTTTTGCCAAAAATTTTCGGACCGCTTTTCAATTTCCCATAAAAACATGCTGGTAAGGAAAGCGCCTTTTAACTTGTCCAGTCTATAGCGATCGCGCAGAGATTTCAAGAGACGATAGACCACCTTTAGATGTTGCTTATTCAATAAAAGTTTATGTTCCATGTCTGGATTTAGTAGTTGAAAAGAATTATCAGGACAATTTAGATAGTTGCCATTAAAAGGCTTTGGAATGGCATACCACGAGGACGGGTACGTATTGCCCTTATTTATGAATTTAATTTCTTTTTCAATTAGTATAGCTGGCACGAAATCGATAGAAATCGAAAAATTGGGATGTTCAACATCTGTCGCGTATATGGTATGCGCCACTCCTCGTTTTAAGTATTTTAGTATCAAACATTTGCCGTTCGATTGTACACGGTTTCCAATTTTTTCTAAAACGTTTTTTATAATCTTGCTTATCCACATTTGTAATACAGCTCGTTTTAATGGCTTTCTTCTTCCCTCCTTCTCGTTAATAAGTTGATTAAGTACTAATCTCAAATCCAAATTCAAGGGTGGCTTATTTAAATTGCCGCCATAACGTAGTTTCACAAGTCCTGGTCTTTTGTCATCCATTAATACGTTCAGCTTTTCTCCAAACGCAATTTTTAGTATGAAAAGAACGTCGAACTCGTCTGGTTTTTCAAGGCGCACATTGTGCATATAGCTGCCTATGAAAACAACCATTGTAAGTTATCATTAATATATGAATTGGAATCCCCGAACTTACCAAACAAACGGTAGCCCTTGTACATTTGCGCAAAGGCTGCATCCATTTCACACATACCATTAAGCAAAGTATCTCGTATTTCGTTGTAGGCTTTAGTGTACGGCTTACGGTCCTTATCATCAATTGTTATTAATTCATTAATTTTTCGTAAATGGTCCTCGAATGGTTGCGACATTTTTAATTATTAGTCGTAGACGGAACTAAAAATTACGAAATTATTATTCGGTAAATACATATCTACTGCATATGCTTCTGACTATTAATAGAATCATACAAATAATGAGAATTAAGGGCAACCTATCAAATAGCTGTTAATTAACAGCGTTATCACTGATATTGGAAACAGACACAAACGATGCGTAATAATCTTCTAGTTCGAAGTTGTGCGTTTTAGTAGCTGTTAGTAAAGTGCTAAGGGAAAGGCAAAGGTGATAAAAAATCGAAATCGAATTCATATACAATTTCATAAAGTAATTCAAATGGCGGACGGTGGGACCCACAAAAGTTTTACAGAAAGTCCACATATGGACAAATTTCAACTTAAATGCGTCCTGTATGGAGAATCAGTAAAAATTAAGGTTCACAATAACTTAGTTCGAATCTTGCTACAAATAAAAAGAGCATAGAATGGTAAAAACGTAATTCAGTAGCGTTTAAAATATGATACAGTTCTGCGAGCTTAGGCGTTTGTACTGATTAAGAAGAAACTCAAACTCATCTTTAAACCAATAGTAAAAAGTTAATCTTCGTAAATAGTCGACGCCGTCCTTTCAAGTAGTTGCATTTGTGGAGCCAGGTGTCGCCTTTTAAATATTTAACCGAAAGCAATAAAACTTTCAATAGCAAATAACTCCCAGTCCGTTTTTCGACGGTTTATCTCAGGTCATTCCTCTTTTATTGCTACGAATGTTACTTTGAAACTAAAGAACTGATTTCAGTGAAGATCGAAGCAGAACAAATCCGTCTATCGAAATCCTATCATTTATAACTGTCCGATGTGCCAGTTTTCCTTCATTACATTCATTTCAATCCGGTAGTGTTCTCAAATTTTGCAGAACTGTCTCACATACCTCATCGTTTATGAATATTACTGAACGAATAATACGTAAATTAATCAAATAATTTAGAGAAACGTTTTCTTGAATGTATGGAAATTTTGGACTTAAAGACACGACTGATAAAGATGAATTACAAGCAACCTTAAACATATAGATAAGAAATGCATTTCTTGCAACCTCTTTGTAAAAGTTGTTTATATGGAACCTTCCTTACATACTTACATAATTATTCTTTTAAAAGAGTTTCAAAATTTCACTTTTATTATACACAAAATACAGTTAATTTGTTCTGCTGCTTCTTAAATGAATAATTCACGCTCACACTTTAAAGAAGTCTGAAACATGTATCGTGCGAAAAAGCAAATGTAAGCAAAGAATTCTCCGAAAACGTCGATTACGATTACATACATGCTCCTCACAAATATTGATCATGAAAATACAAAATCGTCGCAATCAGCAATTTTATTTAAATGTGCGTGTAGTTTGTGTGAGCATGCGCATTCTTGCCAATGAGCTAGCATTGAAACGGGGAAATCACACCGAATACATATACACAGGCGTCTCTCGCTTAACGCGGTACTTGTAGAGTATGACTTCGATATAACACGGCACAAAACTCGTGGCAATTTCAACACGGTTTGGACACACCACGAGTTCAAAAAGCCGAATATATGTTCGTTTGAATTGAGTTTTGCTTTTCCTACGCCCCACACGACTACGACTACGCTTGTGGTACAGGGTAAATTAAGCTTGTGCGGACATGCGTAACACTCAGAAGCGCTTAAGATATCTTCACCTTTTGTTATGCCGATCGATTCAGAATCATTTCCTGAAGAAGTCTGTGCTTTTCCGTCTGCCTGCATGCCTTTGCATCCAATGTTTGGCCATGCATTTTTGTGTTCAGTCTAGAGAAAGCAATTTTTGAGATATATTTTAGTTTTTCGACTATTTTGAAAAGTCGCTATATGGAATTAAGTTCGAATTTTCAATGAGTAATAGTACTTCGAGATTCTAAATTGGTATGAAAAAATTTGGTTCAGCTGGGTCAATCTTTTAGGGACCGTCTCATAAAACTGTTTCTACGGATAAGGAATCTTTTTATGGTAAAAAGATATAATTTTTAATATTTTATGGTGAAAGATAGTTCATAAATAAAAATTGGGGGGATAGTTAACCTTATTCAACTTGGCATATAGGGATTCTCAGGAAATGTAAATTCTTATATGGCAAAAGGGCCTAATTGTTGATATCTTATGATGAAAATTTGTTCATGTTAGTAATTTGACGTAAAAGTCAAGTCGACCAAATTTGAACCGTATTGGTCCTTCTCTTCGACCCCACCCCATATAACGCTTCTCATGAAAAGTAAGCTTTTCAGAAAAAGGTTTAACTTTTAATATTTTATGATGAAAATTGGTTCATAATAGCAATTTAGCAAAAAAATTAATGGTAGGAAATTCGGATCACATATGTCTTTTTTTTAGGCCCCAGCAAATATTGAGGTTATCATCAAAAGCATGCGCTTTGGAGCGAAAGTTTAATATTTAGTTTATTCTGACGGAACCGGAAAGATAATAAAATTTTTAGGAAATAAATAATATAAGGCTATGCGATGTTTTGTGCATTCTCCAATATGTTCGCCTTCGCGACAAGCATGCCTTTGCATAATTTTGAGTGTATGATTATCAAAACGATTACGAAATGTGGGCTCTCCAATCGTAGTCCTTACACGACTGTAACGCTTTTATTTGTTGTGATATTGGATAATGTTTGTCTGTATAATAACACGGTTTCGATACACACACCGTAAGAATTAACCGTTTAGTTGAGCGTCGCCTGTATACAACATATGAATGCTTCTTAACAAATTAAAGAATCCTCGCAATCAGCAATTTTATTTTAATGTGTGCGTAGTTTGTGTGAACATGCGACTTTTCACAATGAGCTAACTTTGAAATAGGGAATTCACACAAACGGCCTGTGCATAAATAGAACAAAGAATTTTTTTCAACAAATTTCTGTGTTTCTTTGCTCGCGCGTGCACAAAGCAGAGTTACCATAAAGACATTTATTTACTACGTGATTGACATTTTTCGCCAATACACACAAACGTCAACGTAAAAACTCTCAGCTAATAGCGTACATGTTTTTGAGACAGTGGTGTATTTTTCGAAATTCGAAGTGGATAATCATTAAGAGTAAGAATAATAAACAAAGCTTCCATCGAATTTTGCAAATTAGCAAAAAAGGGCATGATTTCCACGCAAACCCCTCTTCGTACGCCCATTACCATATACATATGTATGGTTCTGATATACATCAAGAATCTTTTTAAATGGAATTTTCAAAATCGTAAAAAAAAGTGGCGGACAACCGCTCTAAAAACATTTTAATTAATAATAAATGCCTTCTTCAAATGAAAAATTAATCAAAATACATGCAAGCACCTACTACATCATCCAGCATTAGCGGGAGGTAAGCATCTTGTGCGCAAGCAGCTGCAATCAATATAAAATATAATCTTTTTTATATAAATGTATCAAAAATATAAATTCATCTCCCCTTGTACGTCTCTTGAATAGTTTTATACAATTTTT